AATTCCGTGGAACATACTTCGCAGGTATTTTTGTGAGGCCAAGAAGAAAACCTGAAATAGCTGAGAACTGAATCTATAATGAATATAATATATAATATATATATTTCTACATTTATATAGTCAATAAACAATTCATGATGCAAATATGGAAATAACATTTTTAGGGCTCAGTCCTTGCAGTCCTTTTATGTGTATACATCTCCCACTGAAGTCCAGGAGAAATTTGTATGTGAAGACTATGGGACTGTGTTCTTACATTTTATTGTGACTTAGTAACCCTCCATGTATTGTAACCCTAGTTCTCATTTAAGGTGTGCACACAACCTTCATTCTCCCCTTGCAAACCTCTACTACAACTTGTAATTAGAAATGTGAGAATGTCAAAAGGTTCACAGTTAATAATAATTCCTAGCTCTTATACAGTGCTTTTCACCAGAAGATCTCAAAGTGCTTTACAAAGGAAGTCAGTGTTGTCCCCATCTTACAGATGGGGAAACCAAGGTACGTACAGAGCAGTGAAGTGACTTGCTCAAGCTTACACAGGAGGCCTGTGGCAAAGCCAAGAATAGGACCTGGTTCTCCTGAGTCCTACCATAGTGTCCTAGCCATTAGTCCACTCTGCCTCTCAGTGTAGGTATGGTTTACGTAGTCACTCAAAAGTCCTGGATAACTATGAATCTGGGGGCTCCCCATTCCACTTCCTTTTAGCTCATCTTACAAGTGCTTTCCAACCATGGAACGTCATGATTTTCCCTTCCTTTTATCAGGAACTTCAGGGTACATCTTGTGTTCCCTCTTTCCACTGAATATCCATTTTAGAGCTTCCCTGAGGGCCAAATTGCTCTCATCCCCATCTAGCTGTGGATTTTAGGATTTGAGTTTGTTGAGGGTAAGGTGAGTGAGATGCCAGGTGAGGTAATAACTACTCCATTGGGTCCCATTGATCTCAGCCACATATAAAAGGACTCTTTATTTTCTCTGCAAGTTACATTCCCAAGTGGCTCATGCTGTTGCAAATATTTGTGCTTGCAATATCCTTTCCCCTAATGCCCTAAGGGAGCTCCTAATGTTAGAATTTATGAAATTCCCCTTTTCCTAACTTGATATAAGCTCTACAAGCTCATAGTGCACATCTGGGGAAATTATGGAGTACTTTTAGATTTTAAAAGGCTGAAATCCTTCTGGTCCCATGTTTTAAACTGTCTAAACTAGTGTGTGTGTGTGTGTGTGTGTGTGTGTGTACGTACACACACTGAATGATATCTAGATACTGTAGGCCTGAAAGTCTGAATCTCTTGCTCTGAATGTACAGCTGGTAGCAGATTAACTTTAACTATATCATTTTCAGTCCAGATCTTTCCACACGTCATCTGCATGTCAAGTAGGAACTAAAACAAGCTATCTTTGAATTATAAGAATGATTTTAACAAACCAGAAATGTGCACATTTTCCATATCCTTATTACTCAGTGGTAGCTTGTTCAATTTTCTTAAAGCTTTCAATGGCCCCTTTAGGCTGAGAGTATGTATGAGAAATTTCAGCCTGAAAGCAATCTTGTCCAGGTTAAAAGGGGGTGAAAAATAGTGCTAAGAATGGTATGCCTCTTGCAGAATATTAACCATGACTCTGGACTGTAATTACCTTTCATTGATGAGTGCAGCATTTCTGTTTTGAAAACATCTTTAGACTTTGAAGTTATCACCTAATTAAGTTGAATCCTCTGGTGCTATATTATTTGCTGTGCAGGGAGAGAGACAAACAAGGCAGGATTCATTGATTTAAAGGATAAAGGCTGTTTGGAAATGGAAAGTATAGAAATAGTTTTAAAATGAAAAAATTGAGCTCACAGTGGGTGTTATGTCACAGCTATTAGGAGGGGGAACTCTTGGAAGCATCGGGCCACAGGTAGGACAGATGTAGGGACTACAGCTGTGCTAACTTTTTTTGTCTGAAACTTCTTTTTGCAAAATACGCAGATTTGGGCTGACCAAAATACTCAACAAATTGTGTGTTGATCTTGGCATGTTGTTTTGATTAAAAAAAATAAACATTTGTAATTGTCAACATGAGCCATTCAACATTTCTTAAACAAAATGTTTCAGTTTTTCAGGATAGAGTTGCAAGGAAACTTGGACACCATTCACAAAACTGAGGTGTTTTCTTGCATATAGACCCAGTAGCCCAGTGGTTAGCATATGTGACTGGAATATGGCAGATGCAGGTTCAAATCCTTGGTCTTTTACTTCTAATTTTTGATAACTGACAGTGAACTGAAAAATGAATTAATTGCACAGCTCTAATAGGGGAGCTGTTTTAACAGGTGGTGAGCAGCCACGACTCCAGCTGAAGTGAATGGGAGCTGTAGCTGCCTGATACAGTATGGGCCTGATTTT